GAAGATAACCTACCAATACTAAGAATAACCTAAGAAACCTAAGAAACCTAAGAATAACCTAAGAATAATATAAGAATAACCTAAGAATAACCGAAGAATAACCTAAGAAACCTAAGAAACCTAAGAAACCTAAGAATAACCTAAGAATAATATAAGAATAACTTAAGAATAACCTAAGAAAACCTAAGAATAGCCTAAGAAAACCTAAGAAACCTAAGAAAACAAAGAAACCTAAGCAACCCTAAGTTAAAACTAGGAAAGCCAAGGCACCGAAGACAACCTACCAATACTAAGAATGACCAAAGAAAACCTAAGAAACCAAACAAAAATAGGAAGACTTAAACTTGGAGATGGCTAAATGTGATGTTTCCGAAATGAGCGTTGGCCGAAATTAGTTCTGGCCGAAGTGAGCCTCGGCCGAAATGAACGCATGCGGCCGAAATGTAACGCGGCCGAAGTGATCGGACGTGGAGTTTGTGAACGGATGCCAGTTGTTGCCATCGGGCATTTTGAGACACGGCGTGTTTTGTTGATGTGGCACTACAGTGGCAGTCTATCGTCAATCTGTTTAACCGAAGGAATAATAAGCACCAGTTGCTTTAGGTACCATTGAATTTGTGGACGACGTCAAACGAACGGTATTATCAACATTTTTTTGACAACTGTCCATTACAAGCAATTTTATTTGATCTCCATGGAAATTTAACAGTTTTAAAGCAGCGGCTTAAGAGTGTTAGAATTGCTGATTGCATTGTCGCCAATCTGATGGAAGGAGTTCGGCAGCGAACGGTTCGCAACCGTCAATGATGAGCATCATGCTCATCATTGACGGCTTTATACCGTTCACTGGCGATGGACAGTAATATTATGATGGACACAACTTTAGGTCTTATGAGAATCATGTAGCGGTCATCGGTTATTTATTTCTTGCTGCCACTTTCGGATCCTACGTGGCTTAGCCATTTTCTACGCTTGCACATAACACAATCGGCCAGCTCTTACTATTCCGGAGCTAGCCGCTTCCGCAGCTTAAACTTGCAGAGCCTGTCCTCCATCCCGGAAACCGTTTGCCCACCCGAGCGAATTCTGCCAGCATTTCCGGTGACATGTTGCGTTCGGCGCCGTTCGGTTGGCTAACATTGGTGTTACGTGTCGATGCGTGCAGAGTCCTGACTAACCGGCTGCTAATCAGAGACCTGGATGACTAGTTCTGATCGTCTAGGTCGGCGATGAGCAGCCGGTTCTGATTATGAGCGCTCTAATCGAGATAAAATCCTCAACTATCCAAAAGAATAACCGTGAAAAATGGATGACCGTCCAAGCCGTTCTGTGGAACTGTGGAAAGTGAAACAGAGAACAGTGATTTTTATTACACAGTATTTTATCTTGCAGCTCGCGAGCGAGCATTAGTGTTTGTTTCTAGTATTTACTCCATTAGCGCGATAAGATAAAATGGTCATGCTAACAAATGTGGTGTAACGTCACTAACGTGTTTGTTTAGGTTAGCGATATCATAAATGTGCAGCGTGTCGCATTTCGGCCATCTCGTATCGACAGCAACTAGTTTGCCAGTCCGCAGTTGCAACAAGTTGCGTAATTAATATTATCGTTAACACTGCTGCTCTCTGCACAGCTATTTAGGAGTTATCACCCAATTAGGCCCCGTAAGTGCGAAAGTTGAGTAAGCTAGCGCGCTGGGGATATGGAGATGACGCGTCCCAGTAGGCGCCAGTGCATGATAAAATTCGCGCACTTCACGCACTTCAGCTACTCTTAATCTCCGATAAGTTGTTATAAATGTAAATATTAATTACAAAATTCTGTGAACTGTGGCGCATGCCATTTCAGTTCTTGCTGTCACCCTGCCGATACGAGGTGCCATACAGCATACAGACAGGAGATACAGCTTCGGTTTCACCTCCGCGTTTCTTATTGACTCTTACACGATCTTGATTAGTTAAATAGTTAAGCATTTGTACAACTTTTGACGGAACAAATTAATTAAATTGTAAAACCTGTTAATACTGGACGAAAAGCGTCGAATAGTATTATCGTTGGCAAGACTACGAAAACGATATTATTGCCGTTATTCTTTGTACTTCTTGTTGATGTTTCTATATAATGTGTTCAACGTTTCCAAGGAAAATTCTTGGAGCATTGCGGTAGCTGTACCTTCTGGAGGTTGGCCTAGTTGGCGCAAGTTTCAATTGCGCCTTGAAACCGGGATGGACCGATTTCGGCATCATGTCGGCACGATGTTTAAACGCCTTAGAAAACAAAAAGAAACATGTGAGCCAGTTCTTGACCACGGCCGACTTAAGTGGCTAGTTTTTATACCGTTAAATATACTTCTATTGTAGGTACATGCATTTACAAAGATTCATTATTGTTGTTCCTAGTCAATAAAAGTTATTAACACCACGAATACCGAAATTTGTCCAACAATCTGCACAATTCGTACATAAGCATTACATCATAAACCAACAAGGAAAACCTGAAAGTTAAAGCGGCATTTTACCGGCGGGGATTATATTCCATTGCAAGCCAGTTAGCAAATGCCAATACAGATAGCAAATTATTTTTTAACGGTTAACGAACGGCAAAGACTTTTTGACCGGTATTTTTCGACGGTACATAAAAAATGGTAAAGTCTTTGACGGCAGCAAAGGTAAAGGTAAAATTGATAAAGGTAAATTGAAACGGCAAAGAAAAACTAGGCCAACCTCCAGAAGGTACAGCTACCGCAATGCTCGCAAAATACAAAAACATTTTCGTAACACTGTATTGCAGTGCACTTGTATCAGTGGTATGCCATGACACGTAAACTGTTATTTTTGTTTGGCCACTACCTATTGCCAACAGCAAATGAAAATACATTTTTAAACTAGGTACGGTAGCACACAATCATAATACAAAAAAGGGAAATTTTCTGAATTTTGAACCGGCCTAGGTGACTCGGTTACTGGATTACACGAAACTGGTACCATGTAACGGGCCATTTCCTTTACATAAACCAAGAAGTAACATTTTGGCAGTTGACATTCCGACAATACTATATTAGCTGTATCACGCGATTAGGTACAGTAGTGTAATGAATGCTTTTTTCGCTGTAGTTAAGGATACGGAGATAACTTCAAGGTAACCATCCGGCCGGACTGCTCGGCCAGCTAGGGCATGCCCGTTCCGTCTACGTTTCCATCGACTCCGATACTTACAGCTTCTGCTGCAGGAGGTGTGCTTACACCTCATGAAACTAAAAGTATGCACGTACGTATGTACAGGTACGTACCTTTAATACAGAATCTATTGGCTTTTATAATATATGTAGCCTGCAAGACGATACAGTCACAAGTTTCCTATATAACTATATAAGTGAAAGATTTGTACTGAATGCACAGCCTAATTGCGGACCAAATTTGAAATCCGTGATTTGCAACGCCCAGCAGCCCGGGGGCGGTTGGACGTATGCCTTAGCCGACTACGGAAATAGGCGGCCTAAATGTACGTACCTTGCCTTTATACATATTAAATTATCTTGCCTTTATACGTACGCACCATGCAGCGCTACGTCTCCGGAAAAATTCATACTTCGGAAAGGAAAAAATACAATAAGAAGAAGGGGAAGAGAAACTTTCCAGGTTTAATGGCCGTTCGATGGCTCTGCAGGCTAATAATCTATCCTCACTGGGCTGTGATTTGTGAACAGGAGATTAATAGTCTTGAAGAATGCCATAATCCGCCTCCGATGACCGGCAGTGACGGGAGTCGTGTTCGGTTTGTCACAGTATTATAATTTTTAAATTCTAACCCACATCTCAGCAGCCGGAGGAGCAGTTTCGGGAGAAAATGTTGTCAGGCAATGTGTTGGTAATGAACAATCTCACTCGACATGCTGTGACGGTATGATGTGTGAGTCAGTGACCATAGTGCTGGACAACCGGTATTTGCATATCGACAGAATTACCAGGCTTAATATGCGCGATTACTGCTCATCGCAGTACTTTGTAGTTTGTACTTTGTACATATACACTTAATAAAAATTCATTTTATTATTGATTTTTGTATGTCGCACAATCGGCGACTGAGCATGTACAAGCATGCATACACAGTGATACGCTAACAATTTGGAAAGTGCACTTAACTATGCATTCGGTGGACGGAGCGCCGCTCTCAAAGTACTTATTAAAGTGGAAAACATGATGCTGTTATGGCTAATCGCTAATTTTTTAATTCAGATTGATTATACAGAAGTCCCAGGTTTTTACAAAAGTAAAAGTTTTAGCGATTATACAATGCCTCAGCCGACAGCAGAACTAAGCGGGCTAACCCTTGACGGGCGGTCTAAATTTACAGAGGAGTGACCGGTTGTTTCGAATTATCAATATTTTTCTAGCCGTATTTTGTACCCGCAGTTCTGCTAAGCCTGACGGCGATCGCAGTTTACTTGCTGCCTCACCTGAGAAACGTGAATTGTTGTTAGGAGGCTTTGGTGGTTAAACGAGGAGTCCGAAGCCTTCCCCTTAGAAATATTCATTATTATCAAATTTTCATTGCAATAACCGTAGTGTTGTGCGTATTTGAAAGCCAAATGATTTGTGTACATGGGTGTAAAAACTGTTTGTGCGCAGTATACCGTTGCCGAGATATTGTGTGTCAAAATCCCGTACATACAAATTGTCGTGCACCAAAAGTCCTCACAATTCAAAAATGGATTTAATTTGTTACAGTCGGAAGTATAAACTGAACGAGCGCATTGTCACACGGTTAACATACGTAATCTCTTCACGGTACCGTACCGTTCAGAGTTCATACTTCATACCGAAAAACGTTCCTTCAAGTTTGTAAGGCTATTATACCGTCCGTTCAGTGTACGCGCTACTAACATACGCTTCAGTTTAGTTCGTGCAACAGTGGGACCACAATATTGCAGAACTACACGGGACAGTAGCGGATAGAAAGGCAGTTTTCATCTTATTGAATAGCATTCCAGCTGCTTCGTCAAAACCGTTTGCAGAGCCAAAGGTCGACCCCTGCTTAAGCGGGACGAAGAAGTTATTTGTCTGATACAATCGCCGTTGCTGATTACCGTTTGCTGATAGTGTTTGTGCATTTCTTTCTCGTTCGGCGCGAAGCGTTGAAATCGGTACGTTTTTAACATGTAACGCGTTCTTAGTCATATACCAACTGGTCGGAACAGAAACAGCTCTGTAAAAGTAAAACATGTGTTAGATTTCCTGTTTTGGTGTACATCAGGATCACAAGCAGCTACCTTGTACATCCCGCAACTGCCGTTTTTATATGACGTTCAAAGATGAACTTACTCCATGCTATAGTAATCTCATCGCTGTCGTTGGTTGTTGGAGCACACTCCTCGGCGTCAGGTAAAGCAGCCTCAATTATCGTTGAGGCAAATGCGCCATATTTCGAGCTGAAGGTTTACCGTTCGTTCGTTGGTACAGATGACAAGCTTCTGCTGTTCAACGATGTTAATTGGGAGGACGACGACGACGATAGCAGTGGACTCGATAGTTTTGTTTCGGCAACGGGCTACATCCATCCGAGCGGCTACTGGCCCAACAACGGCCAAGAGATTCCTTATGAATTGACAGGATTCAGTAAGCGCGCCACACCCTAATTAACTCAGCTTTTTTGACCTTGTGCTGTTCAAACTGTTACATGGATAACCGCTTGCACTCCTGTTAAAAGCACTTTTTTCTCAAACGTAGTTTTTCTTTCGTTGATCCCTTTAACTAAAAAATTACAACGAAGGAAAATCGGGGATTTCCACGCTTGAAATAATTACGGCCGCACGGTGTGCCACTCTAAAGGCGTGTGAGGAGGAGTGGCCTCCCCGTCATCTACGGCAGCAGAAGACCGCGGGGCCAAAAGGACAGCAAGTTACTCAGACGACGATGGCTAGCAACTGAAGAATCTACCAGATTGAAGATCTGGTAGGTGAAGAAAAATGCCATCAAAATACAGCAAAACAACTTAGCACCCGCCCCAGTGCGGGTGTGCGGGGAGGCCACTCTTCCTCACAGTAGTATCATGTGAGTTGGCCGATAAAGTGCGCAGTTGATTCTCGGGTGTTCTGCGTTTCCGCATAGCTCGCAGCGTAGAACACTGCTTACTCAGCAGGATAGATTCCGTTTCTGTCTTGCCCGTGGATTCTTCCAGAATCCATCATCATAGGCGTTTCTGTTCAGCAAACGTTTCACGAATTCCGTTCTTTTCTGATTTCGTCGCGAAAAGTGGTTTTTACTGCAGTATTTCTAAGGAACAATTAGAAACACGTAATATAAGAAACGAGTTTGGGAACACATATAAGAAACGAGTTGCAAATGAAAAACGCTTTGTTTGGAGAAATCGGATGCGAAACGAACCGATCACAGAAATATACTTCCCAAATTGAGCTAAAAACAGAGCGATTGTTAAGGACCTTGTTCTTTCCGCATTCATTAAATTGTCGTTCTCCTTTTTTTTTCAGGTGACGAGCAAAGAGGGAGTATCGAAAATGCAATGCGAGCTATCGAATGGCGCACCGCCGGCTGCGTAACATTCCAGAAACGCAAGGGAAATCACCAGGAATACATTTTGATTCAACACCAGATAGGACCCAAGGCAATGTAAACTTTTCCGCTGGATTACTGTAGTTTCTGTGAAACGTAATGAGTAACCATTGTTTAACAGATGCAAAGCGGACGTTGGTCGCAGCATCGGCCGCCCAACCAGAGTCAGACTGCATTCCGACTGCTTTTCACTAGCCATACCCGGCATCATCCAGCACGAGATTATGCACGCGCTGGGATTCCACCACGAACACAGTCGCCCGGATCGGGATGATCACATCACCCTAGTGGCCAGTAATATGAAATCCGGCATCGACGAAAGAAACTTCCAGAAACTGCCTCGAATGGCCACCTTTGGACTTCCCTATGACATCGAATCACTGCTGCATTACGGTCAGGAGGTATCCAAGAGCCACGACAAACCGGCTATTATCTCCAAAGCCATCCCGCCGGCCCGTTGGATAGGCCAGCAGTTTGGCCTCAGTCCGTTGGATGTCACCAAACTGAAGGTAGCTTACAACTGCTCGCAGAAGGAAGCTGCAGTAACTGTGCCCACTTTCTCCGCTACGCCAGCTCGCATTGACCGTCATAGCGTAACCAGTGGTCCCACCTTTAACGAATATGCTGCTACAGAAGGTAAGGCGTAACCTAGAAGAAATAAGGTTACTTTGTGGCAGATTGGGAAACGGAAAAGGCTCATGTTGCTATAATAAGGTATCATTTAGCCAAATCTGTGTTCCCGGACGGGCAGTTTCCGGTCTGGTTTATATTACTTTTGCTTTGAATCAGCTTCTGGTAGACTTTAAATGTGACTCGAAACTTGCAGACTATCCTATTAACACATCGGTTGCTGATCCGCCTTTTGTGTATCCAATACCAAAAATGGCCAACGAGCCATTAACAAAGGAGCAATGCCTGCGCGGAGAATCTGCGAACTGCCAGAAACCTGGCTGGTTACGCGGCCACCGTGCCATGGAAACCCCGTATTACTTCACCACCTGTAACCGCACGGCTACTCAGATGGAACTGTTGATCATGTTCCGTGAGATGTCGCAGCCGCCGCTACGGTATGTACGGCTTCGTTTGGAAGACTCCGAACATGTGACCGGTGAGGCACTACAACCTATTCGCACCCAAGTTATTCACCTGAGCCTGTATGGCTGCCACACTAATCGAGTGACCGGGAAACTACGCGGGATGGCACTCGGCAACTTGTTACGCTTTGGTGCTTTCGGAACAGGATGCTCAGATTGTCTTGTTATGCAGAAGCTAGTCTTCAGCACGTCCCTAAAACTGCGCGAAATACAGTTTCTCTGGCATGTTATACAGTCGGTGGAAGTCGACAGTTTTTCTGATATGGTGGATCTGCGAATTTTGTCCCTGCCGTTGTCGAGGGAACAACATTGTAGCCCGAGTTTTGTCTGGTACAGACGCTGGTTATCCCGGCATTCCTATCTTGCGAAGACCCGATCCATGGGCAGTGTGTATAATACGCAAACCGATTGGGACCGTTCAATATTTAACTTGGATGTGATGGAAAGTGATGTGTCTCCACTCTTTATCAGATGCGGCTAGCTCTCCAATATACAGTAAACAAAAGGCATAACGAGCCGCTCTAACTGATGATCTATCTCCTTATTGTCGATCGGAGTTTATCTGCTATACAGTGGTACTGTGGTAGTATCTTAGTGACAAATTGTCTGCATTTTTCAAATTGATCTTTTTGTTGTGCCTTTGCTCATTTTACACAACTGGATTAAAATTCAACTTAGGTTAACTCAACAGCACTACGCTAGCAAACAGTTAACCATTTAATTGTGCAAATGCTTCGATACTTCTAAAATGATATCAATGCGGAAGGTTTAGATTTCCCGTCCATTACGTTGACTGGTAGTGCCAAGCGGCCGCATTTGTGGATTTTCCATCCGGCTCCGGAAAAAAGCCTACCGCCGTCGTGCCGACTGCTGAATGACGGACATAAAGGGATGGCAAGCCGTAGCAATCCCGACACAACCTCCGCCAATTCGTTCGCGTGACGCACCCGGACGCCCGTCCAGAAGTGGCTCAATCTGTACCAACATGGGATTTAAGCGTCACTGTCGCGTTGCGGACCAAGTTTCGCGTTGTAGCGAACATACACAGCGCAACACGGCTTATAAGCCGCAAATCGCAGCAACGGGCCGCAACAGTGCTGCCGTGCTTGGCTGGGCTATGCCAGCGCAACGCCGCAACAGGCGCAACACGGCCTATAAGCCGCAACACGCAGCAACGGGCCGCAACAGTGCTGCCGTGCTTGGCTGTTATGCCAGCGCAACGCCGCAACAGGCGCAACACGGCCTATAAGCCGCAACACGCAGCAACGGGCCGCAACAGTGCTGCCGTGCTTATTGGGCTATGCCAGCGCAACGCCGCAACAGGCGCAACACGGCCTATAAGCCGCAACACGCAGCAACGGGCCGCAACAGTGCTGCCGTGCTTGGCTGGGCTATGCCAGCGCAACGCCGCAACAGGCGCCACACGGCCTATAAGCCGCAACACGCAGCAACGGGCCGCAACAGTGCTGCCGTGCTTGGCTGGGCTATGCCAGCGCAACGCCGCTACAGGCGCAACACGGCTTATAAGCCGCAACACGCAGCAACTGGCCGTAACACGGCATTAAAATTGCCCAACGGTCCTTAAGCATTTCATAAATACGAGTACATTACATAACGAAAATAGTTAGTCACAAATTCACAGCAACAGAATCTCATTTAATGCTGCCGCTCCTTCCATTGTTCCAAGTACATAAGTGGCGTTGCCTCGCTGAATTGCCAACGATATTCGCTGGCGCAGAAACTCATGGGAACGAGGTTCGCCTGTTTGGAGCTGGAGTCGCTTCCCAATTTCTTTAATTAGAGCGATGGCCGACTTTCCCCACGGTCCGAGAGTTTCAAAGGCTAATGGCGCGAAGATGTATCTTCCCAACAGATACAAGTACAGTCGCACTTGTTTAGTTGTTTATCTTCGGCCTGCGCTGCAGCGGATCCAGCAGAAGCTGACGTGGATTTTAAGTGAGACAGGGCGACGGTATCGACACAGGTGACGTCCCACGCCAAGCACATACCGCGTTTCCAGGCGAAGGTCGTGCACCCATCCGGCCCCGTCTGATCCGGGCGACGATCCGACGTGTGGGATGTTCCGCGCGGCTCCAGTTTGGCAGGGATGTCCGCTGACAACAGCGCTCTGCAGACGATATTGTTCAGTCCGCCGTGACGCGGGTGTCTTCCAGCAGAGAAGGAACAGGATAAGCCGTGGTGGCCTTTGAATTCGCTCTCATCACTTTGCTTGTATCCCGCTTGCGCACTTAAACGGTCAGCTTTAGAGTATATTGTATGAAACAATGACACTCATTCTCTTTTTTGCATTGCGCTTGATCGTGTTGTCAGGTTGTTTGCAGTAAGTAGAGAATTTGTTTCTCAACATTTTGGTAGTAAAAGTGTCGAAAAAATTTTTTTTGTGGGAATTTGAAAACCTGTTTGGGCCATACAAATTGGTGCTACGATCCGGCACTACTGCCAAATGCGGGTGTTCGCAATGAGATTGGCATTTTCGATGTGGCTGCTCTTGTTCGAACTCGTCTTGCAATTCTTGGCTTGAATATCCATGGACTTATTTGATACGAATCTGAAAATGCATTCTGTATTCTAAATTTGTTGCGGTCACTCCACATTGCGTGATGCAAGCACTTAGAGCACCGTGCACGCCACTTTAAACCTTTGTCAAACGTTGTACGTTAAGGGAAATGGCCCGGTACATACAGAGTAGCGTAAAATGGTACTGTATAAATACACTAAAACTTTTGCTTGCGCGAACTTCGAATCACTTTTTTGTAATACTTACTTTATGTCATTCTAAAGCTTAATAATTTGTTATTACCCGATCTTCTTGAAACTTTGTTGTAAAAGACACACGACCATAAGGTCGAAAGCGAAACAATATCAGATTCATAGCAATTTTTTCCGATTTTAAAATAAATTTCAAAAATTTTAAAATTCATTTTAAAATTAAGTGCTATGAACCTGGAAGGGCTATGAACCTTCGCATTCCCTTATCAATGTCCTGCGGCAGATTTCTCTCTTTCGTTGGACACCTACCATAACAACTTTACCTGAGTGGGTGACGCAAACGCTTTACTGTTGTCATTTACCCACAAAGTTATGAGACAGTAACTTCTTCGCGGATAACATTTTCCTCTGACATTAGACTATAAATGGACTAGAATAATGGCTAGAATAATTACGTTGTAGTATCCTCTGCTTTCTTTCTTCATTGTATCCCTTACGTTGGACGTATCACCTTCTGCATTACTTTGTGCATTGTCAGCTGCATAACTTTCAATACTTCGTTTAGTCAACTTCTTCGCTTCTTGTGTTTTCTGTAGCAGTACTTTCCACGCTGTAATTATACGAGTAGTAACGCTCATAATAGGCATTGGCCACTCCTTGTAATATTGCCTAAATTTGCCGCAAATAATTATAACCTTTATACGACTTTCAGTTAACAAAAGTACTGCGCATCCAGAAATTTGTCACCAAAATTTGTTATGCTAATGCATATGCATAATTCTAGCACACAATTACCTAAAAAATGTCAGTGTAGGCAAAACAGTCAGAAAAAATTATAGGTGGTGTACGTTGATACGAATACGTTGCTACGAATATTATTCGGTGTACGTACGTTGATTTTCCTTTTTAAAAACCAAAAATGTAAGTCCATTATTTTGGTATTAATAAGTATACGTAAATACCGTATTAAGGGCAAGATCACTGCCCTGCTCAAGGGGCTTCACTGTATTCTATACAGTGAAGATACAACAATTATAGTATCTGTATTGTATGAACTACAATACAGCCCCTAGAGAACCGCATTGGCAAGATGCTCCACTATGACATGAATAAGTACTGTAGCAGTCGAACTACTGCAGCAGACAACGCACGAAGTAGTGCAGCAAATGATGCGCATTACGTAAGTAATACGATGTAGGGAGAAGACGGTGGATACTACAACGTAGAAGGCTTTTTGCGGCTCTCGGCTTCCTTACCGGACGGATCAACCACGGTTACCAAGATTTATCTAAATCTCGTCCAAGCTTACTGTAGAAGTTATCGACATCAACGCCTCTTCTGCGTCATTGTCCAACTGTCTATGAGAACTGTTAAACATGCAGACTATGCTCATTGGCTGAACTAAAATTTGGCACGTATTCACAATTTAAATACAGCGAAAATCTTTAGAACTTTACAGGTTTTTTTATAGGCAATAGATCAAAAAGTAATGTTTATGCAAGTGAATTCAGGCTCTTTACCCGTTTACCAACAACTTTCGGTCCAAGTGCAAGTTGTAGCGATAATGCACAAAAAATACTAACTATAAAGAATAAAGTCAAAAGCTAAAAAAACGTGCATTGTTTCCTTTAAAAAAGCACTGCCGTTGTCTATAGAAATATGCGCATTAGTTCGATTAAATCATGAATTTCAAACAAACACGATAGTCCTATTTGCAGGACTGGCACTTATACGCTCTCTTCTTTGCGTCCGTTAACCTGCCATTGACATCTCCGCATTTCAAATGAAACACAAGCTTGCATGCCGTACATGCGATCCCTGAATCCTTGATTTCCAGCGCAAGCCCACACTTAGCGCACTAAACAAACAATGCACTGTTAACACTGACACAGTGGCATGTAACAAAATGTATGAAGACTGATTTAGTAACCTTTGCGACATCATCGTTCGAAACAACTCGCACTTTATGCTTGCTGGCTCGAATTGCAGGAGCAAATCCTGTGTACGAACAGAAAACCACGATGCAGCTTCAGTCAGAATTCACCATTACACAGATCAAAGGATGCGAGTGACCCCGGCATGCGTCATGATCCCTTGTCCAGATTAACACACTGCAGTCTGCAGGGGGTGCTAGAACACTATTACCACGCAGGCCCATGCTAATCCGCAATTTTAACTTTGGTTAACATTTGTGCTTTTATTTTGTTTCGACCTTAAACACATCCGATTTTTATCGCTTAGTGTTAATACCGAAAGTTGTGCACTGATCTCTAATTCCATTGCACAGCTACCGCGATGCAGTTCTTATGAAACGCATACAATTCATTTTAATAGGCTGACGTTATACCTGTGCTGGCAAGCTTGCGCTTTTTCGCTTTGCCTTCCGGTTCAGGAATTTCTGAAACGAGAAGTAGAAATATATTTTTAAATTCAGATCAGCTCATAAAACTTCATTGCTGTCAGTTATGCAGGCAATCATTGGGAAGTACTTCGTCACCTTCAGCAGAAGACTCGTCCTCCGAGGCAGGGGGTAAAACGTGGCAGTGGCACCTGCCAGTGGCACTGCCAATGGCATGGCAAGCGATAAAACCTGGAGGTTCTGGCAACTGGCAAGTTATAAAACCTGGCAGATGCCACATAAAGTGTGGCACCATGTAAAGGAAGCGGGTTCCGAATATTTAATCAACTTCATAGGTTTTTAAAATATTGCCAGCACACAATCGATTTATCGTGTAAGCATTAACAGCACTGGCCATGCACGAAGTGCGGGAGTGAGCGCCAGCACAGAAATTTCAAAAGGTCACATCGTACTTTCCTGTGCGCACGAAATATTACAATAACGGTGTTATTGCACATTAATATCTTCTTGCACATTAGTAGCGATAAACGCACTATTGTACACCAATAGATTAACGGTGTTATTATGAATTTATAATTCTAAGATAGC